TAAAATGCTATGTAGAAAAGGTGAGCAGTGTGGAGTATGGGAACTGGAAACAGTTTGTAGCAGTTAGAATAATGTATTTGCAATACTGAAATGCTATGAGAAGGGATGGAAACATGTCCACGACACAGGAAATGGTGAAAGAATTAGTAAAGGCTAGCAGTGCAGAGTGTCGGGAATGGATTCATATCTGCAATACTAAGACTGCTTTTAGAGTAAACTAATGATTTTCCCCGAGCGGTCTCCAACAAATATTCTTCACATTTTAAGTAATTCAATCAGCTGATTTATTTATAAGGATTCTTCTAAACAAACTGGAAGTGTGGAGAATCTTCTTTTGTAAAGTAGCTCATGAGTAATATTTATAAAATTTATATATTACTATTCCATATTATTCTATAGACTAAAGGGTGTCCCAACAAGAACGCCGGATTTAAAATTTTAATAAACCATATATTTTCTCGCTAAAATTACAATATGAAACAGGAATCTTAAAGCATAGTATCTCCGATTAGTAATGTATTATCATGTCTCTTAAGTGCCCACCTGCTGCCTGCTGACAAGCCCGACATCGTTTGACAACGTTTTCCATAACTTTTTCACCAACTTGCTGTTGAATTCTATTAATGGCACAAATAATTTCCTCCTTCATGTCTTGGATTTTTTAAGGATTATTGGCGCAAACAAGCGACTTTAAATATCCTCAAAGAAACTAGTCACTCGGTGTTAATCGCACGATGAATGTGTGCTTCATTGCTGAACAGCAAAGTTTTTGAAAACATGTCATTTTCAGCTTGATTTCCAACCACCTATCTTACAAATTCAAGCCGTTTTATGGGATCTCTTGGCTTTGATCTCTTGTGTGAGTTGAATTTTGTAAGGGAACATGTATTATACAAAAATTCTTTGTACTGTGCTCCGAGCTAGGCCTAACTGCTGACTACGCCGACGAATTGATGTTCTTGCGTTGTCCTCTACACTATCATGTACAGCATCAATATTTTCAAGGGAGCGACCTGCCCGACTGCGCACTGGGCTTTTAATTTCCAAAACTGAGCCAAATTCTTCGAACTTAGAAATCAATCTTCGGACAGATGACTTTTGCGCATTGTCTCGGCCGAAAATTGCGCGCAGCTTCCGCACCGTTTCAGCGAAACATTCCCCGTACTTGTAGTGCACTTTAACTATGATCACGTGTTGATCCGTCGTGTAACGATTCATGACTACAAATGGGACCTAATACTGATTAAATCACTAATAATTTGGAAATTCCTATTGAAATACAGATAAGAATAAGACGCTCCTAAAATCCGGCGTTCTTACTGGGACACCCTTTACTAGCTGTTGTACCCGTGCTTTGCAACGGGAAGAGGATACAGAACAGAAACATTTTAATCTTTACATCTGTTACATATAATAGTTACACATCCCCCAACGCTTTTAGAAACAAAATTCAACGTTTATGGCCTTAATAGAAACATTTAAGTTATGACTTTTAAATCTGGTAAGTAGTGGATACCACCATTTTGGTTTTGATTAATTTTAAATCTTGTGTTGGCTGATATGCGGAAAACTGACCAAATCCTCGAATAAAACTTTGACATACATTATTTACCTTCATCTCCCTTAGTTACATATATCTTTTAATTTATTATTGACATTTTTGATTTCAACTTTGAAGTTGCAAAAAAACCAATTATTAGATTTAAATGAACGTTTTTTTTTTAAATTTAACTCTTCTTTATATTAAATCACAAATCCTTCCATATTCAGTTTCTTCTCTCACAATAAATCATTAGCAAAACTAAGTAAGCTGTTATAAACTTTAGAAATATTGCTGTGCCTTATCAATACAGTCTTTTGAAATATTAAAGAAACTATATCTATAGGTACTATAAACAATGTGAAACAAATAATTTAGTGTTAAAGACAGCAGACAAATTAATATGATTATCAAAGCATCAAGGACTAAAAAATGTAATAGCAAATACAGTATATGTTTCATTGCATCTCTGATTCTACTCTAAAAATATCAAAAACCAACTTAATATACAAACCAGTTCTTTAAATCAGTTCCATTATCAATTGCCTTTACATTTTCACACTTACCATTAAGTAAACATAGTAACAGATATTTCATAGATTTTAGAAACAAAAGAACACTGTGTACTGCAGTTTTATGATACCGGTATTTTCCTTGGTTTAATTTAATCAGTGTTGTGGCAAAACACTAATGTATCAAATAAAGTAAATATGAGCTGAAAGCTATGCTAAGATAAAATAAGTATGTTGTATTATTAAATTCAAATTGTAAATATTTCATTTCAACCAAGTCAGTAAATGTTTGTAGCAAACTGTTAAACTAGCAAACTTAATTGACTGTTTACAATTATCATATGTTCTTCTTATCACTTTTAATTTTTGACAACGGCTGGAGTTTCATAACAATATTTGTTTCCCATGTTAATCTTATGGAGAAATACAAAACTATTGTCACAAAAAACCTGCTTGCGTATTAAATAAGTACTAGTGTCCCTGTGTTGCTCGAATTCGAGCAATTGCTAAGTATTACAGGCGTTATTTGAAAACGAACTTCAACCAAGTCAGCAAATATTTGTAGCAAACTGTTTTATTAGCAAACTTATTGACTGTTAACAATTAACCTATGCTCTTCTTCTCACTTTTGATTTCCGACAACAGCTGGAGTTTCATAACAATTTTTGTTTCCCATGTTAATCTTATGGAGAAATAAGAAACTTTAAAGGGCTCCAGGGCCTCACTCTCTCATTATTTCCCTAAAAAAAAGGGTTCAGTAGTTTCTTAGGAGTAATTGTCACAAAAGATCTGCTTGCGTATTAAATAAGTACTAGTGTCCCTGTTGCTCGAAATCGAGCAATTGCTCTCGTTTTTTTACATTGTAATATTTACGCCAACCCAAATTCAAATAGTAACTATTTCATTTCAACCAAGTAAGTAAATGTTTTGTAGAAAACTAACTGTTAAATTAGCAAACTTATTGACTGTTTACAATTAACATATGTCCTCCTTCTCGCTTTTAATTTCTGACAAAAGCTGGTGTTTCATAAATGTATTTGTTTCCCATGTCAATCTTATGGAAGAATACGAAACTTTAAAGGGCCCCAGGGCCTCACCCTCTAATTATTTCCCTAAAAAGAAAGTTTCCTGCACAACTTCACGTTACGCTCTTTCCAATGACACCAAGAACATGTAAATCGGTTCAGTAGTTTCGGAGGAGTAATTGTCACAAAAAACCTGCTTGCGTATTAAATAAGTAAATAGATATAGATATAGATAGATAGATATAGATAACTTTAAAAAATTAGGAACATCAATCTCCTCAAAACCAAATCACCACAAATCCTTCAACCACTCAAAAGTCACAATACAATAAATCTATATGTTAATTTGAAACTGTTTTTCTTTGTCACAGCTATTTTGAGAGAACGGCTGGGCGTAGAAACTCAGTAGAGGTGTCTAAAGAAAGGTCTTGGTCTGTAGATGAGCCATCAAAAGAGAAACATGGTAAATTCCCTTGGGGCTCTGCCCCCGTGGACTTTAAATTCCTATCCCATGTTATTCTTATGGAGGAAAACTGGGGTTTTGTCACAGCTAATTTGAGAGAACGGCTGGGCGTAGAAACTTGGTAGGGGTCTCTAAAGAAAGGTATTGGTTTGTAGATGAGCTATCAAAAGAGGAAATAGGTAAATTCCCTTGGGGCTCTGCCCCAGAAGCCTATAAAGTTGTCTCTTCAGATTTGTTTATATTACGACCATATGCATAATTCTACACTACTTTTTAATGCAACAGCTGTTAATATTTAAATTGTGATTTATTGAATTTGTCAAAATGAGTACAGTATTTGCAATGGATTTTTCTGATTTTAAAGTTTATTTTCTTCTGCATCGTGTCATGTTTTGCAATATAATGTTCTATTACCAAATCAGTGGAAAATCCTAATATCACAGTAACTTTTACAATTATTTCTTATGGAGTTAACTTATATCTATTGTATGGGTTGGTTTCTGCCTTTTTTACCACTACTTGGAGATTGTACATAGGTGATATTCTTTGGCATATTGCATCTGTAGACGAAACTTGGGTTGGTGTAATTATTACAATGGAAAAGAGCGAGAAATCCTGGAAAATTTGAGATAGGCTAAAAATAAAACTGTATTAACACTGTGCTACATTTCTGGAGCAATCATTGAAATAACCGATTTGCAAACAAAGTAAACATAGAAAAAGTCATAGATCACAACCAAGTAGAAGAAATAGAAAAAAAGTTTTTTTCTTACACTAAAAACACTAAAAAAACAAGATCAGCTTTTTTGAAAAAAGATAAGACATTTACAAAATATTTTGATTATATCTAACTGTTATGTAGATCGTGAGTACTGTATTTCTATCATATTTGAGTCGCCTGTAATGCTTCGCAATTGCTCGAATTTGAGCAACAGGTACACTAGTCATTAATAAAAACACAAACATCAGCTGTTATAAACTTTAGAATATTGTTATGCCTTATCAATAGTGTTTCATCAGAATATATAAAAAACAACATTTAATTTCATATAATTTTATTCATTTCAGTACATCAATACAGAAATAGCGATCTATACTATATAAAGTTGGAAATGATTAATTTACCAAATATCGAAATATAAGAAGGTTTCAACTGACTTATAAGATCCCCGCCCATAGATAGAACAGGCACCCTGCTAGTTAAATATCAAGATATCTCTTTTCACCCAAGACAAGGTCCATTAGTGGAAGTAATCATTTTAACAAACATAATAAACAGTTTTGTTTTTTACCAGGCAGAAGTACAAACAAATATTAAAAATTTAAGAAAACATCTTTATAAAAATAATAAAATTTTCTTAATTAAATCATATAAATGAGAAAAAAAAATGTAAATAAAAGTATACTGGTATTCAAAATAAATATTAAACTAATCATTATAATGAATCTAAACTGATTTGTCACTTCTTCAGCCTTCTCTCCCCCAACCTCCATGCCTCCATCGCCATCCACCCTGTCATCAGGCCTGGAATATAACAGAACAAAAATTAATATTGAAAACTGTATTCTGAACAAGAAGTCTTTTTATGCAAACTATTATTATTTAATGTGCTCAGTGGCGTACCTAGGGGGGGGGATGCAATTCGCACCAGGTCCCACACCAACATAGGCCTCCAAATCAGGGCCGTATTACCCTAACGGCGGACACTGTGTGCATTTGCGAACAGGGTAAAATCTGTCCGTAGTGCGAACAACTTTAAGATGTCATACGTCAACTGTCCGTTTTGCGAACCCATATTTGAAACGACCCTTGAAACCCAAGATATTACATGGAACGCATAGCGATAGCCCTAGTAGCTTTTGAAGTTGGGTAGTTTTTCAACCGCTTTTGTGTTTGATCATTTACTCTATTGGTTTAAACGAAGAATAGTTAGCCAATTTGTCAACAAGATGTATTTAAATTAAACTAAAATATATAACAAATAACATGTTTGACATAATTTGGTTATGTGTAATCAGTTCAAACTCAAATCCCATACGTATGAATATCATTGAATTTCGTATAATCTTTTGACAAAAAATTCATAAATAATCTTTAGTATAGTACTTAGAAACCTACCTCATACTTAAACAATACCATAGTATAACTTTATTTAAAAGCAGCTAAATTAATATAATAATTTGTGAAAATGTTAACACAATACTGATCAAATATATATGGCACATGAATTCACTGTCAGAAAATAGAGTAAACTTACAAAAAAAAATTAATTTGTAATTTATAGTTTAAAAATACGACCCATTTGTTTTTGCTAAGTTTTCAATGATTGCTTTTTCATTTCCGTAGTTATTGAAATTTGGAACATTCTGTGATTGTGAATTAAAACTTGTCATTTTGTGTTGTCATAGGGCGTTGGAATTTATTGGCATAACGAGATCTGTTTGGGTTTCTTTTGTATAAATTTTGAATAAATGGTTTGAACTATTGTACATTTTTCTACTTGTTTCAACTGCTTCTGTTGACAGGGCTATTCCATTTGTCTTAAAATTATTGCTGTTTCAGTACTAACCAAATGTAAACACTATGACATATTCAAAATAATTATAATTACTGTATGGTGTCAAAAAATATAGCCTACATTACCTAAAAAACAAAGCAAATTTTTGGGCACCTCTCCAGTTAAAATGCTGGTTAAATACTAGTAATTCAGGAGGGTTATGCAACATAGGCTTTGGGGCAATGGACACGGCCCTGGATTTATAAGTATTAAATTTAAGTAAATGGCAAAACTTACCATAAGTTAGTTTTCTTCAATCTTAGTCTTAAACTCGCCCCATCCTCCATCTCCTCTTCCTCTGACACCTCTCCCCTGTATCCTCCAGTGTCGGAGGATATTAATTACAACACCCCCATTTTACTGGTAGGCTTCAGCTCTGTACAGAAATATTGCAAAAAAATAGTGTTATACAAATAATTTTGGTCTAACAAATAATACAAGTGTGTACACTCCTTTCTATATTTGCGATATTCAAATAGGTACACAGCTAATAGGAAAATGTTTGAGCAAATCTGGGTCAAGTTAGTACAAATATTAGAATTTGTAACAATAATTTGGTTTAGACAAAATAAATTGCTTCAAATATTAATTCATTGTTATTTCCTAATTTGCAAAAATGCAAGCTATAGCCTAATTAAGTCATTTCCAAACAACATGTTTCGAGATGTAATCCAAATAAATTTTAAGTAGGGGCCTAGTTTTAAATTGTTATAAAAAACTATAAATTTGCATACAGATTATAAATTATCCTCATGTTCCACCAAAAACTATAGTAACTAGTGGGCGAAGTGGTACTTTGCTACACATGAGAGAAATGCTTAAACGCACGAGCCGTAGGCGAGTGTGGAAAGTATCTCGAGTGCAGCAAAGGCAGTTTGCACTTGTGTTACAAATTTTATTTTTCTTACAGTTATTATAAAACATATAAATAATTAGTCTTTCAAACTCTGTTCAACACGTTTATAAGTTAGGTTAAATCCAAACATTGGTGAAATGGTAAGCTGTACCAGTTGATTGTAGTCGTAATATCTTGAATGGGTAGCCAACTTATTTTCAAGTGTACGTATGTATTACGTGTCTAATAAAACCACGCTGTTTTGTGTTGTTTGGTTGGAATACAGGAGTGCTGCAAAAAAAGAGCGCGGTAAAAGTAAGTAAATGCAGCAATTAGCAACTTTCTGTGCTATAATAAGTACAAGGAAGGCCACTTTGTCAGGTGACAGTTGGAAAAATAATTCACATGCGCTTCATTTTGAAAACTGTGAATGACTGACTTAAACAACCTTTTTATTATTACTGTTATCATGTTAAAATGTGTAATTTTGCGCACAGGCCGCCTAGTTATTAGTTTATAACTAATGTAATAACTGTATACACACATTTTTTTGTCCTAGGACGCTACAGGCACTAGTCCGGAATTTTAAATCACATTTCACACTTCAGCCTAGGTCTAGGGCTGTGGTGTTCACAAAAAAATAATAATAAAAACAATAAATAAAATCCATTGGCCATCTGGCAGAATTTGAGCCCGGTACTGAAGTTCTGCTCGCTCCCCTAGGGTAAAGAATTTAGTCAATTGTAGGCATTAGGCAGGCCTATAAAATACGTAGAGGAGGCTATGACTTAGAGCATTGGAACGCCGATAAATATGATCAGCCATTAATATTAAACGGGGCCAATTGATGTGACGTCAATAGGCCTATGAGCGAAGACAGAATCATATTTATTAAATAAAGTTGTCGCTTCCAATTGCTTGGTGTTGAAAACAATCAGCTGTAGGCTTAAGTTACTTCACCCACAGTTCATTCCACTTGTTAATGTCATCCACTCTACCTTGACTATTCAAACATTTTGAGCGGTGATTTATTCCGTTTCAGTAATATTCATCTGCAGTGAAAAATAGTGGTCTTTGGATTCAGTACGTAAAAATCTACGCAGAGGATACGGGTCCAGTAACCGGACGTGGATTAGGCATCCGGCAGTTACTGTCATAACCTAACCTAACCAACCAAACTTGCTGATAATGAAAAAAATCGAATGAAGGTTAAATTCTGTCCATAAAATAAATTTATAAACGCAAAAAATTCAAACAAAAGATATTGTACAGTTAAGAATAAACCCACCCAAATATGGACAGTAGGCCTAGGACATAAAAATGTTCTTTCCATGATAACCCAACCTAACATAACTTAACCGCCACAAAGCGCTGTATTTCTGTAGCCTCCGGATAATACTTACCAAAGTACCGATTTGAACTTTGAATTACTCAGTTAACAAACAGCCTAGAATCTATCCCAAAGGAGAAAGAATATTGACTCACCTCACTTAAGTTATGGTTAGACCAAGGAACATTATCACAGCAGTATGGTAATTGCCTCCAGGGTACACAACTCTGGTCTCTCTTTCTCTCTCATCTGCAGTGATGTCGATGGCAATGTCGTCCAGAAAAGTTAGTCCTCTTAACTTATTGGTTCAAGACAATATTTAAAAAAGAGACCAATTTGGGTTCAGGTTAAATTACAGCCTTTGCTCCAGGATCATCTATAAAACTAACATTGAAGTCATCAGCAATGAATGATATAATCCAAGTCTAGTCTTACACCAAATACAAACAGCTCTAGAATATTTGACAGCACTTAAAGTTTACGTCCTACACTCATTCCATTTCTATCTTTAATAGGCCTACTTTCTTTCTTATTACCTGGCAACCATACAAAGTAGGTCTAGGTATTTTAAGCCAAGTATGAATTAGTTATGGGATAACCGAATGGTTTCCATGACGGAATAATCAATCAGTTATTTTTTGCGTCAATCGGTTATTTTTAGTCGAATGAATCACCGAATCAATTTTAGTCATTAAGTATTCACTATCACAAACCACAAATAATTTTTATCCTAGGGGAAACTGAATGGCATTTAGTCTTTCAGCGTCAATCGTTGATTTTTAGTCGAACGAATCGCCGAATAAATTTTAGTTACATTACCTGATGATGTGACAAACTAAATCAACTAAATCACCGAATCGCACAGTAAGACTAATTTAACCGAACCAGGATAAAATAACCGAATTAGTCTATTCAGCATCAATAACCGATTGATTCGGTTATTTTCATTCGGTGATTCCAACCACTAGTATTGAATGGAGATGAGTGTAGAATGAGTGGAGCCATCTTGTAGTCTTGTTAGTGACTAAGACCGACATTCCTTAGACATAGCTGTCCCAAACAGCTAATGGCAACTAAGCGACATACAGTTTATAGTGGAATCCGAACCACATTATTGCCTTGGTAGGTATAGGCCTATACGAATTGGTCTAATTACCACGATAGTACTGGGGAGAGTCGTAGTAAGTACTCACTGTGCGGACGTTAATCCACACCAGGGACTGTCGAATCCACAGTGCATGCCTAAATATCCACAATTCGTGACCTCCTAGTAGCTGGATTACAGGACGACGCCACCCGTCCCAGTCATATTGATTATTTCATTTGATAAACTTAGGCCTAGGCCTATATCAAGTTTGGCTAGTTAGGGTAAAACCTAACCTAACTAAAGGAATGGGGTACAGTTTCTTAACTGGGCTATGCTAATATCGATTGAAACTATGGGGATCATAATAGCCTAGAGATAATGCCTATTCAAACATTTGCTACAATATTGCTTGATGATCCAGAATTAGCCTACGAATAAGCTGTATCTTAGGATCTTGTTGGTGACTTACCTAAGTTAGTGTCTGGTAGGACTAATGTTATCATGTTGATTAAGTTTTTTATCCTATAAAAATTAACTTATTTCTCATTATTCCTTAAAAACTATTGTTTGTAACACTCGAGTCATCTATTTTCTTGTAAACAAGGAAATAAATAAAAAAGATAAATATTTACAATATAAAAGTTTTTTGACTTTTGTCAATAAATGGCCAGCTTGTAGATGCCCGTCGGAATTCGGAATCAAATATTGCGACTCGTGAGTTGAGGAACTGAACGATGAATTAGAACAACTCCTTTTTAAGAGTAGCTCCGAAGAACGGGAGCTTGTCGATATACTGGGACTATTTCAGTGTCGACAAAGTGAAACTATTTCATTGTCGACAATATGGGATGTCGACAATTTGTGGTGTCGATCATTTGCGACGTCGGTTATTTGGGATGTCGGTTAAGTGGGAATATTCCAGTGTCGACAAACTGGGAATAATTCAGTTTCGATAAATTTCTACGGTTGTCGATATTATGGAACCCACCCGTAGACCTCCCGATGAGTTCTTCGTTTTTTTCTCTTCCTTGCATCTCGGATAGCACGGTACTTGCCCTTTAGATTTTTGGATACAACCAGAATGTCCTCATTACCGTACATTTTATTCACTTCTTGATAAAACATCATTATTTTTTCCAGCTCTGGGGTGTACCAGTTAACCTTATTTTTCAAATTGCGAGTTCTATTTTTAAACATCTTCATCTCCACCAAAGGAAAACATAAACATTAAGATTTGAGTCAGAACAGTCCCACAACAGGTTTAAACTATCTTGAGCAGATAATAGGGTCAAAACCAAGTCCCAACTGACAGTGCTAAGGTTCATAATAAGGTTATCAACCTTAACAGGCCTTCTGGAGAATTCACTGGATTCCGGGGAGTAGTTTGTTAAGTTAAGTTTGTTCCGTTATTTTTCTGCATTTTTTTTATTTCGGGGGTTTTTTGAAAAAGTGGGCTTTTCCGTTAAAATTACAGGATTTCAGAATTTTTTAATTGACCCATATATTGAAAAGTGGGTCTGATTTTTTGTAGTAGCATTTCGTTTGTAAGGGTGGTCAGTAATGTGTTAGCAGACGGTGAGTCGAGGCACGGCCACCTTTAACTACAGGCCGAGGCCTTCGAAGTGGCAACGTCACAAGTGGTGTTGTAAGAGCTGTTTTGTTTGGAAGCAGCTAATGGTATTTGTGTATTTACGAAAGATTGGTTACTGGACCATGACAATATTGAATCCGCTTTAAAATGTACAGATAGAGATTTTTAATTCATTTTGTTTCCGTTTTCAATTCTGTATGTTTTATTTTCAATATTATAATAAATTTATGTTCATAAATTTTAAATTTAATCAATAAAGTGCGAATTATTGAGCTGATGTCACCTGTCTGCCATGTTATCTTATAGGACGTCTGTCACTAAACAACTACACTTGCGACGTTGCCAATTCTACCAGGCCACGGCCTGTAGTTAAAGGTGGCCGTGTTCGAGGACGTCAGCGAATTGACGATCAGTTAGCACGCTCTTGCGGCACATCGTGGAACCTTCCCTTTTTAATCTGAGTCTATATTTATTCTATTTATTTATGCAAGAAAGTAACGAATAAAACCAACTGCCAACAATTTCTTTAATAAACCCTTTTAAAAGGATTGTACCTTTTTAATATTTGCTCGATGCCCTTTGAGTTTAAAGTACAAAATAAATTTGTTAACACAATCACTGGATCAGAATATACCAAGAGCAGACGGTTGTCGGAAGAGAGAAAAAAAACACCATGTGATTATGAAACGAAACTAAGCGGAGAACTGAGAAGAGAAAGAGAAACGTCAGTTCTAGTTGACAGTTGTCAATCGCAAACGTTAGTGTTGGTATTTTCATTTCGATATTTAGGCTTGTGCATTAAAACAACAAAATCGGGAGAATGGCAACAGCTTCATCACCCGAAAAAATTAACGCTGAAAGAAGAAAACGGGTAACGTATTAGGCTCTGCAATAATTAATTTACCATGTTTTCTGTAGGATATTTTTTGAAGTCCTTCATACCTGCTGTAAGTTAGTGATGTTATGTTACATAATGTTCGTGTTGTTCAGTGGATTTGGCATTCCCAAGGGTTAGAAGCTAATCAAAGTTTTTTTAAGTCAAAATAAAAGGTCAACTTAAGAAACTAGGCCTGTATGTTTTCTTTTGTCGCAATTTATCCCTATTGTTGGGTAAGTTTAGTCTATAAGAAGAAGAAGGGGGTAATAAGGTAAACACTCCGAGGAACCTAAAGTTTGTGAAAAACCCCGTTCACACATTTCAAATTTTCTATAAAGAAGTAAACATTTGAATCCAATTGCTTCTATGGGATAGCCTATCTTGGGTTCTAAGTTCTATGGGATATCTCTTACTATGGGATATCTTGCATAAGCTATATTGTTGCAATATCCGTGGGATGTCCTGGGGAGAAAGTGTGCTGTCTGGGGTTAGGCTAGGTACCGGTACTTAAACCTTGAAAATTATACTCAGGCCTAAGTTAATTACTATCAGTTGTGATATTTTAAAACAAAAAATAACTTAGGGTAACTTACTTTCCTGTTAAAGGGAACTTCTGTTTTAATATCTTCAAACACATTTAAATTACAAATTGACAACTGATGCCTGTTTAGGCAAAAATTATACGTGTGGGTTAACACGTTGACTGCTAAAACCTTTACACAGGCGCTCCTAAACTCCGCCCCGGCGCGCTACTGAATCAGCGGTCGCTATCGGCATTGAAATATCTCAGTAAGACTAATCAGAAAAGAGCACTGGTGATTGTTCTGCGTTACCCTGAAAGTGGATGTAGTTCACTGAAACACCCAAAGGTAGCAGCACTGCCTGGATCAATAACCAGAGTCTTAGCTCGAATGGAGAAAATCCCCGAAAACGGGACTAAAGCATTGCCAGACGGGATTTTACGGGAATGTTTAGTACCAACCTACACCAAAATAAAGATTGTATTCTAAGTTACAGCCTGGCAACAATCACATTGTCGCCGGCCGAGTGCTGGGTTCAGACAGACACAATTTTTGGCAGGCGAGCACACTATTGATATAGCAGTAGGCCGCGAGCAGTGCCAGTGCCGCGCTACTCCTATAGCAGTACGGTAGGCCACAGTCAACATGTTAAGAAATGAAACTGTTCTATACTAAACCTTATCTAACTAACCAAACTTTAAACATATCAAAATTCTGTTTAATAACAGAAAAAGCATGTGGGGAATATCAAACTGAATTTTGAAATGTTAAGCTACAGCAAGTTTGGTTAAGTAGTTACGTTAGGTTAGTTTAGAATGGTTTCATTTCAATATAATATTTTTTAAATCATTTGTTGATACTGAGCAATATTTATTTATCGTCGTTGTCAGCTGAAATTATAAAAAAAAATTACTTAAGTTAACAACATATCGAAAAAAATCATCGATGATAATGAATGTTCCCTTTAAAAGGAATGTACCAATTATAGTACTGAAGAAAAATTACAACTGGTATCTATGTACGACATTTAGGTACCATAGCTTGTGATCAAGGAAAATTCATGAACTTCTCCCAGTAAATGAAAGTCAGTAAAATACCTCAATTAAACTAATTAAATCTTTTAAAATCACTTTTTTATTTGGCAGAAATTTCAGGATTAAAGTAATATGATAAATCACACCCTCTTACAACTATTTTAATGTTGTGCAAACCCAGGTTTTTTTGGGTTCTCTACCACCTGATTTTCTTCGCATTTCCGCCACGTCTCAGCAGCAGCAGGAGGCCGCCGACCAGCAGACAGCTTTAGCCTTGCAGCAGCAATTTGCTGATGCGCCCCTTATGCAAAATCTAACTGGCAGATTAAACATCACCGTTGCTCAGGTAGGAAGCCATTAAGTTATCTGCACACTTTTGTAGCAGAAATTAATATGTGCAAATTTTCATTTAAACAAGAATCTGGAGATTTAAGCCTAACTTATATTTGGTACATTTAGGCCTAGTAGGATACAGTAAGACAAGACCTCGATATCTCAAAATTAAAATGGTAAGGGTTAAAATTTTAAATAGGCTAATTTCTCTAGTTTTTCTAGTAATGTAAGTGAAGTTCGAGTTCAATCAATGTGTGATACCGGTACCGAAAATTCATGATGGCTGCTAAGGTGCTAAATAGTGAATGATATTTCATCAAATAATTTACACGTTAATTTTCTTAACTCATTATTTACAAGCTATACCTTTAAGTGAGCTTAAACCATTTCTATGCATGTAGAGCAAGATGATTAAACCCCCCCCCCCCCCCCCCTCTTGACAAAAGGATTTTACCGTGAGCGTAAAAAATGTTGAGGATTTTGCCCATAAAAAAATCCATAAAAACTCCTAATACTGTATAAATTAACATTATTGTGGTGATTAATTTGCTTTGCACATAATCAAAATACAATTAACTTACAGTAGTAATTGCGCAATCATGATAAGTTGTCATTAACCTTGGTTCAGTACCAATAAAAACTGTAGCGTTTAAAATCATAGCTAACTCAAACTTTTACTCAAACAAAAAAACAAACACTGTACAGCAATGTACGCTGTATAGCAACAAGTCATGTAAAGAACAGAACAATAGAAAGTCTAGTAAGCTATACTGCTAGTCATAGGCTACTGCTGTGATCTATTTAGGACAGAATAATGTCAATAAAACATTAGACTCCGTAACTCATAAAATACCCCCGTTGCAGCAAACCTGCAGACTAAGCGAATTTCCTTTTACAGTACCCGGCTGGATTTCTACTAAAATATTCCCAAAAAATTTTCAGATTTATTTCATACTAGCAGAGTACCCGTCCTTCGTACGGGGTTGGCATATAAGTATAAATTGCTTATTGAAGTTATAGGAGAGGGCACGGTTTAAGAAATTTTTGTCTTTCAATTTATAAGGTAGCCTATAGTGTAGCACTCATCTACCATAGCCCTAATGTTCTACCACTGCACCTAAACCATGGGGAAAAGTTAAGTTCTCATTGTGTACCACAACTTTTTGTTGCTAGTTGGTTCAAATTAGCTGTGGTCATAAATACAAAAAACATGTTAGTGCTGCACCTTGTTGGTAAGCCTTATAACTTTTTAATGTTATGTAATATCATAGAACCAACTTGTGTAGTTGAAACGGCTGACAAAATTCTTTAATTTCTTTAAATATGAATACTCATAAGGTTAACATGAGAAACTCCAGAGCAAGAGCCACTGGGGCGGAGCCTGAAAGGATTTTTGAGGTAAGAATATGCCTATATGTTAATCTGGAATGTCAGCTATCATCATACCAAATTTCAATCTTGTCGGTTTAGTATTTTTCGCGTTTACTTGTCACAAACATCAATCCATCCATCCATCCATCTATACATCCATACATCCATCTATACATCCATACATTTTACAATTTTATTAACTATCTCTGTAACCGTTGGGCATATAACAACCGTTCAACATTCAAAGTTATTTCTTTTTTTAAGCTCTACAAAATGGTTTGAAGAGGAATTATAAAATTTTGTGTTTTAGGGTCAAAAATGGGAAATATCTATTTTTACCTCATAAAACCCCCCATAAACCCCCGTTTCCATAGTTAGATTATGCTGGTTTGCGAATAATTGTAGGTTTATACGTTTGTACCAAATTTAATCAAAATCGGATAAATTTTGCTGGAGTTATCACACTAACGGGCACACACACACACATACATATATACATATATATATACCCCCACCGCAGTGAACCTGCAGACTTAGCGAATTTCCATATGCCTGATTGGATTTACACTCAAATGTCTCCTTTAAAATATCTCATTTATTCCCTATTTAAATAGAATTAGTTTAACGAGTACTTAGGTTTGCTGCAACCAGGAAGGGTAAAAAATGTTTTTTGTTGTAAAATCTTAATACTGTAGTTTAGTAAAAAATGAATGTATTTTCCTAATTTGATCAAAATATGTTCATAAGCAAGCAAACAGTTGACTTATTCTCCATAAGAATAATATGGGAATTTTAAATTTACAATTTTTTGGAATTTTCTCCATAACCATTAGGCGCATAATAACACTTCATTCTACTAAATTATTTGTTTTTTTTAAGCTCTACAAAATGTTTTGTTAGAAATTGTGAAATTTTGTGTTTTCAGGGTAATAAATTGGTAAACCCTATCTTACCCCATAAAATCCCTCATTACCACCGTTTCCATAGTCCGATGCTGGTTCTGTACTGTACAGTACAGTTCAAGCTATTGAGGCTTGTGAACGAGATGCTTTGAAATGATGGTAAAAATCAGATAGAATAGATCAAGTGGGCCTAACTAAATTTCTTGGTTTAATCATTGATGAAAATCTCTCATGGGATGATAACATCAATCACCTAGTAAACAAATTATCTTCTGGTATCTATGCTCTGAGACAGATGTCCAGAGTCTGTGATTTGGAAACTTTAAAAATTATTTATTATTCATTAGTTCAATCCCACATTTCATACGGAATCACAGTCTATGGTGGAACAACAAAATCAAATCTTGATAAAGTACTTAAACAGCAAAAAAGAGCAATTCGCACTATTATGAAATTACGGAAAACCATCTCAGTGAAGAATCTTTTTTGTAAATTGGACATTTTAATAAATGGGAACTAACAACACCCTCCAATCCCGGGCATAACTATAATACTAGGTTAAAAATTAGATTGCCTCAGCATAAATTAGAATATTATACAAAGAAAACCACCTACGCAGGTTTGAAATTTTTACAATATTTACCAATAAACATCCGGCAGGAGACAAATTTCAAAAAATTCAAAAAACTTTTAAAAGATTTCTTAGTAAAAAATCCTTTTTATTCATTACAAGAATTTGTAGATAAAACAAAATATTTCATTTGAATTTCCATTTATTTTTCATAATGGACATTTGCGTAGATCTATGTTTTAATGTGTATGATTTGTATATAGATTTTGACTCTATTCAGATACATGTATGTTTCATATATGTTATATATTGAATAAAGACTATTTGAATCTTGAATCTTGAATCTTGAATAATAAAAGTTAAGTATTACAGATATCGTCAAATTCAACTTATCAAGGTTAAAATTAAAACATTCAACTTATAAGGGTATTTATAACTAACGGCGACTGGGACTGTGGCGTTGTCCTGTAATCCTGTTACTTGGAGGTCACGAATTGTGGATATTTTTGGGCATGATCTGTGGATGCGATACTCAATGGTGTGGATTTAAAGTCTACACTAGTGAGTATTATTATCGTCCGCAGTATTATCCTGATAATTAGACCAATTCGTAAATTACAAGGCAAAAATGTGGTTTGTTTTCCACTACAACCTAGATCCCTAGATCCCTTATTTGCTATTGGCTGTATGGGCTAAATAATAGTCCTGGCTAAGGAACATGTCAGCCTTAGTCAGTAACAAGACTACAAGATCGCGCCACTCATCCTATACTCATCACCATTCATACTTGGCTTAAAATACCTACCTTTAGTGGTCGCCATTTAAGTTAAAAGTATAAAAAGATTTTGTTAATTCCATAACCTCAATTCTCATTCTCACTTCCAGTCAAGTCCATTAAAACTTGGATAAAGATTCTTACTCACAAGGATGTATTACACAGCTTTTTACATTCATTTTCAGGATTTAGGTAGGTTAAGTAAAATTTCATTTAGTAAAATCTTTTTCAAAGTCAAAGTCATCTTTATTGTCACATAAATGCTCTGGCACAGCCAGACAAAACAGGTGACATTGTCAAACTATACTAAAATAAACTAGCTTATTGGTAAAAATAAATACATAGTAACAAAACAAACAATTCACAATGATTTGTCTTCGAGAAACTGATCTATACTAATTCTTTTCCAACAAAAATTCAACAATTTTTTCTTTAAAAGATACTAATCCTATTATTGATTTGTAGTACCCAGGCAAATTGTTAAAAAATATTTTACCCCTATAGGAAGGTGTCCTTTCCACAAGATTTAATCTGTGTATAGGATATTGAAAATCTGTATGAAATCTAGTGTTATAATTGTGCCGATTATTTTCACTGTGGAGTTTTTCAAAATTTGATTTCACATACAATAAACATTTAAGAGAATATACAAATTACGGACGGTTAGAATCTTTAGTTCTTTAAGAAGTTGTTTGCAAGAATGTTTTACGGGTTTAAAAGTCATAATTCTAAGTATTCTTTTTTGAAGTTTAAAAAGTTGATACGAATCAGAGGTGACGCCCCAAAGCTCTATTCCATACTGTAAAATTGATGAAAATAAATAGTTTCTTATCGTGCGTTAATTTGTAGGCTATAACTGCACAAACTATAGACTATCTAATATATGTGATTGGTTAAGCTATTTGTGGTTTTGTTCCAAGCAGTTAATGTGATAAAATCTTCTTGAACATCTGTCTACTAATTTAGGTTTTGAGAAATGTGTTTGTTTTGTCATAGGCAAAGCTGGTGAAGAACTATGGTATGACTCGCATGGACCCTTATGTGAGGTTGCGAGTGGGTCATTGCGTCTACGAAACTCATACTGATCCCAACGGTGGAAAGAATCCTTCCTGGAACAAAGTTGTACAATGGTTAGCTCACCAAATCTTATTCATTATCATATTCAAGGCGTCCATGCACAATAGTTGAGTAAATTGAATGAATCGTTCAGGAATTTTGCATCAGCATAAATATAAGTTAAGGGAATCCTAAAAGATCATGCGTTTTGTTTCTTTTTAAGTAGGTAGGCCCTACAGTAATAAAATATGTTACAATGACTAAATACACAATCACAGTTGTTAACTGATATTAAAAAGAAATGTTTGTGTAGGACAGAAAAAGTTAAAAATCCTAAAAGAGTAAAGCAACTTAATTGGGGGTGAGTGGTGGCTAAACAATAATAAGCTTTTTGTTTAGCCGTAAAAAGATACAATTATCAAAATATTAACCATTTAAAAACACTGCAATTTCACTGAGTTTGCACTGAGTTTCAATTTCCATTTCAAATTTAATGGTGTTATGAAAACTGTTGATTTATTGTTGATAAATTTTGCTTCTGTTTTGGATCCTTTAAATGTAAATAAATCATCAATTGTAAAACTATAGCCTAGTATTGAATATTTTAGTGGTCAGAATAATCTATCTATAGTCAACAATTCTTTATCGTACATAACATGGAACAGAATGGTGTCGATACAACATGCCTAGTAAGCCTATTTTTGCTTAATTTGATTTTTATCTTAATAGATAAAAAAAAATCATCTGAAGAACTAATTAATTAGAATTAAAAGAATGTTATTAGTTGATAATGAAACAGGAGGGTTTCCAGCCAACCTGGAAACTGGGAATTGTATTTGAATTTTGTAAAGAACAGGGATAAGTTATTTGAATAATAGCTTTAAAATCCGCCCAAAATCATGTTTCTTGTTTTGCCAAATTGAAAATTGTGATATTAGAAACTTATATCACAAATGACAGTCGTAATGCAATTCTGGCATTCCTCGAGATAGCTGGGTAGCTCAGTGGTTATAGAGTTTGCCTTGGAATCAAAAGGTCCCTGGTTTGATCTTAAAAAAGTGTGTAGCTTTTTGATGGTTCAAAATTGAACCCAGCTGTCCTTGGGTTTTCATTAAATGGTCCTGACTAATGAAACAGCTGGTCTTAGTCAGTTACAATCAACAAAGCCACACAAGGCATCACACTCTATTCTAATTCTATACACTCATCCTTTATTCATATTTGGGTTAAAATACGTGCGTAGGTGGTGTCCCTATCTCAAAATGATGATCCGAAGTAATATGAATATGACTGGGACGGGTGGCGTCGTCCTGTAATCCAGCTACTAGGAGGTCACGAATTGTGGATATTTATAGGCATGCACTGTGGATGCGATACTCCCTGGTGTGGATTAACGTCTGCACTAGTGAGTACTACAACTATCCGCAGTGCTATCTTGATAATTAGACCAATTCGTATATACCAAGGAAAAATTGTGGTTCGGATTCCACTATAAACTGTTGGTCCTTTAGTTGCCATTAGCTGTATGGGCTATTAATTAACAGCTGTGTCTAAGGAATATGTCGGCCTTAGTCACTAACAAGACTACAAGATCGCGCCACTCATCCTACACTCATCTCCATTCATACTTGGCTTAAAATACCTACTTTGTATGGTCGCCATTTCATTAAAAAGTATTAAAGTAATGATATCCAGGCATTGGTGCGATCACAAAAAATAGCTCGATTTTTGCAGCTAGTGTTGATAGAGTTAATGTCATCGCCTATAAACAATCGAAAGACATTATCACGTGTTTTGCTGTGATCGCGAGAAATTACTGATGATTTTTTTGTGATGGCAAGTAATGATCCACTAACACAAAACTGGGTGGTTGTAATGATGACTTGTTATGGTTGCCATTTAAAAGAAAAAGTATTAAAGTATGCACGGAAAATCATCCCAAGTTTTGTGGCGATTTAAAGATATGATCATGGATGTCCGACATCGGAATAAATCATCACGGATGTTACCTCAGCTGCAGGAAATTATCACAGTTGTTGCCTCGATAATGAGATTTAAAAATCTTACTGCAATCGAAAGATATAATCTTCATCGTGGCTGCAATTATGAGATAATGTGATGAAGGGTTTTTAATACAATCAAATATATTTGTTTCCATTTGGTACAATATGATAAGTCAACAACAAAAGAACAAAAGAAGATGGTAGATATAAAATTTAACTTAAATTGTATAACATAAAATCGTTGTAACACATCGCCTTCGGCTCGTTGGAGACTCCTTGGGGTGGCGGTGCCTTATTAGATTATTCACTACAACCTTGGCAAATTTCAGGTCTAGCACGTTTCTAAAATGTTCAGATCAGCATACCAAAGTAAGCTAACTTTCAAGTTCATTCCCTGTTAGAATAACATCGGTTAGATGTCATTACATTTTGGATTTTTTAGTGTGCTGCCAACTACTTTGTTTTAAGTTAAAGTGCCTGCCACAAACCGCCGTAGAAATATAGTATATTAAGAAAACTTTGTTCTAAAAAAAAGAAAGAAAAAATGAAAACTATTAACTATTTGTTTGTTAGCCTTATGCATCAATTGGACCTCACCGACAAGTTTTTTAAACTTGGTGAGGCCTAGCTGTTGTAATTTCCATAAATATATTTTAATTTGAAGTTATGGGTGTGGGTGAAAATTTTAAAATGCAACTTTAGGAATTTTCCCGAGGGTTTTGGCCCAAGACCAAGAAACGTGGCAAATTTCAAGTCCGTAGCACATCTAGAAGTGGTCTAGATAGCACTTTTAGCATTTCTTAAGTATCTATAACATTTTAAGTAGTTAACACGACATAACATAAATGTGGGGTTTCTATATATCTGTGAGGGGGTTTACAATAAATGATTACTTTAAGACTTAATGATTTTGAGTGTTGAACATCAACCTTCCCATTTCAGTCTGTTGCCGCAGGGTGTGAACAGTCTTTACTTGGAGATTTACGATGAGTGTTCGTTCACAATGGATGAGCTTATCGCATGGGCGCAGATCCCTATTCCAAAGGTGGTGTTTTCCGGGGAGACTCACGAGGAATGGTATCCACTCAACGGCAAGCAAGGAGACGGCCAAGAGGGGATGATCAACCTAGTACTCAGCTATGCTGTGAGTACAACCAGTCAAATCAAATCTTCCAGTGTTACAAAATTTATAAAAATTTCTCACGGAAACTGGTGTTTGTTAATTTACAGTGGAAGTTGTGAATAGTAGTGAAGGGTATTTTAATTTTTCTCTATGATGTTCAGTAAATAAATTGAAAGGCCAAGGTAAAGTGAAGGTAAATTGATGTTGGGTTTTGAAAGGCCTACTATTTTTAAGGTCAGTTACAGTAATTTAAAAAAGGACATTTTTTAGATTATATAAGAAATCATTTTCTCTCTCATCACACACTTTATATACAAGGTTGATTAGTTTCATATAGATGAAATATACTGTGCTTGTGCTAGCTTGTAATTATAAGTTTTATTACATAATTAATATGTTTATTTTAGGGATGATTTTGCATTACAAATAAGTAAATTTGACTCTAAAGTACAGATTCATGGCATCAACACATAAAGACAAGTGACTGGTGATTTGATTCAAAACTAGTCTTCTAGGAAAATCAGTACAGTAATGACAATCTAAATTAGAGAACAGAATGAACTCTTCTGCAGTCTGCGCAAGATGGTAGCTCAAGCCAACTTTGGCTGAGTTTGTGTACTTATCTTGTTATGTCTTAGTATGGATGGGATGAGATTTTCAATCCTGAATCGCTGTAAAAACTTCTTTTTTTACTAACCGTGATGGAACATGTCACATATACTTTTAAATAACAACAACACATTGGCTTGAAAAGTAATGTATTACACTACATATTCACTCTTGTTGTATTTAAAATACGGTATGAAATATTAATTGTGGAACTTTTGTGTGTGAAATGCTACTTAATTAATTACTTTTATACTGTTTGTTTGATAGAATATAACTTATTTAAGTACAACCAGCTTCTAGATATAATTCAATTTATAAGCAGGGATATATTTTGTAGATAATAAATCTTCAGTGCTGTAAGGTGATTTTGTTATAGAAAGTGCCGATGAACCCTTACGGCATGTACACTGCTGGAGGTGTAGCTCCTATCATGATGGTGCCGTCGACGGCCTCCCCAGTCTATGGACTGAGGCCGTACGCTCCTGTACCAGTGTACACCCAGCACCCTCCTCCAGTCGCCCCTCCTGTCGAGTTGAAAGAGGCAGACTTAAAACAGGTGAGACACTACAACAATGTTTAAAAGTTAGATGCTAGAACTGCAGTAAGTTTAAATTATTGTAATGTAGTAGTACTGTATTTTTTTTTTAGATTTAGTACATTTTGTTTTTCCCCTCTCACAACTAATTTGTAATGTCTATGTTCTCATCAACGTCTTCATAATGTTTAGTCCCTTTAGCGAACTACGCTATAGGAAGCCATTACCTTGGTTGTCATGGTAAAACCTGAGGGTGAGACGACTTAAATGATTTTTTTTTAGGTCTTTAGAAGCTAAAATTACTATTTGTTATAGGCGATTCAAATGAACCTTGAGTGGTTAAAGTAGTCTCCCACCTAGGTCTTTCTTTGACGACTACAATAATAGCTTTCTTAGATAGGAAATTTGCTAAAACTGACATAAATCTGTAACTGACATGTCCTGAAGCTACTGTACTACACTTGGACCAGTGCCTTAGTGTGGTAGACAGTCCGGCCGGGAGTGAACACTGTGAATTTGCAAGGTATGGGGAGTTGGTCTGACTGTGACAGAGCTTGGTGTCAGGTGTCCCATGGGTGAATACTGAGAGAGTTTCATTTGGAATCTGTAATTTTGTTACTTTTGTGTATCCTTATAGTGTGTTTGTCAATCAAAAGCTTATTTGATAAGCAGTTAGATTTTTTGCTTCCATTATAAATTCATTATCACATACAGGGTGAGTTTTAAATGAGTTCCCCCCCCTACTTTTTTCTACATTTCTTAAGATATCAACTCCGGACCACGTCAGATCATTGTAGAGTAGTAAGTACTTCATCTTGACTGCGTATAAATTTTTGGCCGCCATCTTGGATCCGCCATATTGGATACAAAGTTTTTTTTTCAAATGTAAAGGTAGGGTTGTGACCCATCTTTTTAAACTACTTTTTTATGCTGAATACGATGCTGCAATTCGTTTTTAAAAATCTTGATCCATTCTAAAGTTATGAGAACTTTTTATAACATTATTTTTAGCCCATTTTAACATTGTGCATTTAGAAACTAAGAACATAATCGCAAAATAGTGCTAGATAAAGATTTATGTATATTATGTGGTGAATACTTATCTTTATCTAGCACTATTTTGCGATTATGTTCTTAGTTTCTAAATGCACAATGTTAAAATAGGGCTAAAAATAATGTTATAAAAAGTTCTCATAACTTTAGAATGGATCAAGATTTTTAAAAACGAATTGCAGCATCGTATTCAGCATAAAAAAGTAGTTTAAAAAGATGGGTCACAACCCTACCTTTACATTTGAAAAAAAACTTTGTATCCAATATGGCGGATCCAAGATGGCGGCCAAAAATTTATACCTAGTCAAAATGAAGTACTTACTACTCTACAATGATCTGACGTGGTCCGGAGTTGATATCTTAAGAAATGTAGAAAAAAGTAGGGGGGGAACTCATTTAAAACTCACCCTGTATATTAAACATATCAAAGAGTTGGGATCACAACTTATCTATGTAACATAATGGTAACATTTTGTAGGTGGAAGAAATGTTCCCCAACATGGACAAAGAGGTTGTAAAGTCTGTATTTGAGGCCAATGGAGGCAACAAAGACGCAACAGTCAACTCACTACTGCAGATGTGTGAGTAACCAGCGGCTGATTCCTACCCAAACTGTTTCCATTTTTATACACTGTCCTTAGCCTAAAACAGCTGGAAGTATTTGTTACAGTTTCACTACTTTTAGATTTTCTATTACTTAGATAAACTAGCTTTAATCACAAGGAAGGCCAAGAGGAAGCACTTAGCTGTAAACAAAAACATAATACAGCATAGGAAATCCTCACTAACATAACACCCAGTAGAACACATTAAGTCGGTTGTTGTTTTCTTTCACATTTTCATAATACCTACTATTAAGGTTTCAACTTCTGGAAAAATTTCAAAAGTTCTTTTATTAAAGACACTATAACTTTCCTTTAAATTAGCCTTTTACTCAACGCCTAGTAATTTTTGATCTTCTGTGATAAACAACATTTATTATTGTAATTTAAATTTGTTGTACATTAAACTTTAGATACCTAATCTGTTGTTAGAATATGTAAACAATCTGAACAATCTAAAGAAAGGTATCATGTAAAATTTAAAATTTATAAAGTGAGGCTTCCATGCTACGGAATGGTCTATAAAGTTTTGTTGGGAAACAACATTAAAAATACAAGTTAATTGTCTTCAAGACAGGCATCTTACTTAAATAATATTATATGTACCTATTATTATATCACATCAGCTTTGAGTTGATAGAAAAAAATCAACACCCAGACATTTAAAAATGTTTAATAAAACTTGCAATAATAAGAAGAATATTTTACAGAACGTGTTTAAATCATTTCAACAACCTCTAAATAGAGCTGCAACTGGTTGAACTAAATATCAGCAATTAGGCCAGTGGTTCCCAACAGGTGGTCGGCACGAGACTTGGATGTGACAAATAAGTGATAGTTAATTAATTATTGAATGGAATTAAATTGAAAATAAAGAAAAATAAGTTTATATCACAAATAAAACACAATAAACATATTGATTAGTTCAATTACATTTTTTTGAATTCTAAGTCACATTGAAATCATTGTTACAAAACAAAAAATATAATCTTGATTTATATTGAAACTTTTTAAAAAGTGTGTGAGAAATTTTTAGTGTTAGACCTATATTTTAAATTTGAATTTAATTATAAAATAATGTTGATCAAATGTTGTAAAAATTAACATTATGTTTGTATTAATGTATTCTATTTATTACCTGTTAATACCCTAACAAATTGTGATGGGATCTAGATAATGGTGGTCCATGATACTGGTACTGCTACTGTCATATTAAGTGGTCTGTCGACCTCAGTGAGTTGGGAACCACTGAATCATGCTGTCATTGTATGATTACTGATATATTATATATATATATATATATATATATATATATATATATAATAACTTGTGTGAAAAATCAAGTGTAGGCCTTTGGAACAGCATGTCAACTGAAAACTTATAGGTTCAATTGATTGGAAATGTTGAGGTGTTACCATTTTTTTAATTCTTTACATGCTAAAACACAAAATTTGGACAAACACTTTACTGTGTACAGCAGCAAAAACAGCCGTAGCTCTTTTACTCCCCAAAGAGTAAAAAGCCTTTTTAGTCCCTAGGGAGTAAAAGTCAGCTGCTGTAAACTTTGATTGTAGTAAACAACCGCATGTATCAAAATTATTTATCCATTAGAGTCTAATTTAATCGGTTGTAGCTTATGGTTGTATTCTTGTCAATGGTTCAACATATTGATGGTATAATGTGCAGGAACACAATAGAACACAATGATCGAATCACTTACCAAACAGCTGCTTGTTTGCAATAGCAAAACTGAAAACAAGTTGGGAGTTGTTTTGAGAGGTTATCTTTACATGAATAGTATTTTCGTTTTTAAACTTAGTTTGATTAATGTTGCATTAAGATGAAAAATTTAGTTCATCACATGGGCAAAAAGTGTCTTTTCAGCCCTTGCTCATTTTCCGACCTCGGTTTCGCCTCGATCGTAAAACTTAAGCTCAGGTCGAAAAGAGTCACTTTTCGCCCTAGTGATGAAATATACTATATTAGTCATTGCATTTTGAAGATACAAGGTCTTATACTCATTGAAAGCAAACTCATGGGTTTAAATTTTAGCTACATACAGGAAATATTCCTTACTTGGCTTACAAGGAGAAACTATTTCCTTCGCTTATACAGTGAAATATTGTGTCATAATAGTGTTTTATTTTATATTAGTTTCTTTTATTTATAATATATAAATGTGTCATTGATTTGTTAAGTCTTAGGATAAAATGTTAACACAGTCATCTCTTGCTAACTTGAAATATGTAACTGTCTCTTAGAATTACTTGTACTTCGATCTACGCTTAGTTTGAGCTAAAGAGACCTAGGCCTACTTGATAAAATTTGCTTCACAGAAGTATGTAGGAGTAAATAAAATTAAAATATTAATCACAGAGATAAAGAATGGTATTCTTTATTCCTTACAACCACTACTAAACTAAATTTTTAACAATGTTTTTTTGACCTAGGTCAAAAATTAAGATAAATTCATCAGATAATTTTTAATTCTTCGATTTCCCTCCTAGAGAATTGAGAATAATCAGAGAGATCAAAGATCTTGAGTTATTGAAGTTTGAGCTAGCGAGGAATGGCTGTTTTAAAATTTTATCTAATGAATTTTCTTTTCAATAATAATACGGTTTTATTATATGTACATACTATTGTTCCATTATTATTATTACATTGCTTCCACACCTTTGTTACTATTTCTGCTGTGAATGTTGTTTTCACATTTTGGTTGTTCAGAGTATATTCACTTTTCCTTCATTATCATTAACTAATAGATTATGCACAGTTGATACACTTAATGTTTTTCTATGCTTTCGATACTATTATTACATAATTATTATTTATTGCCTAGTCAATCATTGTTATTTATTGATTTTCAGTTTTTGAATTTTAAAGAGTTAAGTGCCAAATTATACACACTCCAAATATATTTTAGTAAATGGATAACTGTGTAAAATTTGTAATAAACTATATTATGTATAAACTGTTGTTTAAAATTTCCCCTAGGTTTCATGTTGCTGTTTTGCTAGGTCTCAATGAACTTTTTGAGTTATTTTTGTGTCCATACTCTTGGAGACCATGCATTTTTTTTTTATATACTTCTGTCCAAACTGTTTTTCTTCTATACCAATGTCAGCTTAATTGCTACATGGCTTGTTCTTGATGTTGTTTCATCTTGACAAAGGTTCAAACAGTAGTACTTTATCTGAACTACCTCACACCAGGGCTATGTACGGAGAACACTAAGACCAAAGGGGCACTGACTCATGATACTCTCTACTTCATGTTGTACAAATAGTAGTAAAGGGGAAATGTAAACGTTTGCGAGACAAAAAGACCTCAGCATACATTTTATACTGAAGAGGCTATGTGTTATTATTTATTATCATTATCAATTGAGATGGGGAGGCCACCTAGGTGTTAACCCAAATATGAGTTAAGGATGACTGTAGGACGAAGTGAGATGGTATATGTAGCTTTGTCTTATTTAAAGCCCAATGATCAGGGACAGCTGGCTCTAGGATTGAACCATCAAAAAGCCATTCACTTTTCTCAGGATCAATCTGGCATACTTTTGATTGTTAGGTGAGCACTATAACCACTCGGCTACCCAGCCGACTATTTAAAAAGAGTGTAAAGTGTACTACAATTAGAATAAGTCTAAATGAAACAAACATTTTACAAAAATAATTACAGATTTGGAATTCTAGTTCAGCTTGTATTACAAAAATATAATTTTATTTTTTTAATTGGTTTTATCAATAAATCATCTTTGTCTTCATTTCCAGTTTTGCTGTATTAATTGAAGTTGGAAAATAACTTCTTTTTGGTGGACAAAACCCTTCATACTTCATTTAAATAACAACAATTTTTTATACTAACGAGCAATCTATTTTTTTTATTATTAATTTCTACATTAAAGCTTATTAACAATCTCATGAAATTCATCATTTGTTGACCTGCCTTAGTTACTGGGATTGCGGGAAATCGCAACTTTGGGATTGTACTCCCATGCCAGCAGCTCATCGTCAAAAACTACAAAACTGTAATACACCCAAGTGCATAATATGCTCATGTGTATGATGATGCTATTCATTTGAATGTACTGTATTTTGTAATTTGATAGTAGTATACTGTAGATCTACAAGCTGCACTGTCTAAGCGTATGTTAAAACTCCTTTAGATTTTCGTTCAGTGGTGGCTGATTCATAAGGACTCTGGGACGTAGTCTTCCCATTTTCAAGTCAAAAGTAAAAATAACAATAATTAACATAAAAATGATTTTTATTCCTGCGTTGTAAATAATTGTTAGCAGGGCCAATGTTTTTAGGATGGGTGATAATGGACGCAACCAACAGGTAGTACGCAGGCACTCAGTGGGTATATGAGTCAGTAGGTAAAATGATTAAACGAGACAATGATAGACATAAGACATAAATAAAACAGTTTATATAAAAAAGTGGCCTAAACCAACGTTTAAATAATTATTATTTTACTTTTAACCAAGACCCTCCCCCGGTATCAGTAACTTCCCAAAACTATTGTTTAAGCGTCCTCCTACAACTTGAACCCTTGAAGGAACGTCAACGTCACCAGACCTTACCCTCTTCTAATAAACTTCTAGAACAGACAACAGACGTCTTATAAGTCTGATAAATAGCCGAACGGTTCAAAAGATGCCTCTTGAACCAGAAGACGGCACCGTAGATTGAGGGTTACAATCCTCTCTCTTCTTCAACTCATGAAGACTTCATTTGCCTGTGGTAGAGCTGCTGGGTGGTAGAAGTTATCAATTATAACATTTGGACAGCTCAGATGGAAGTTGAAGAGAAAGGTGAATTCATAGTGAATTGTACGTCAGATCACATATTTTGCTACTTTTTGCTTATCCCTGTCCCATGTGTGTGTCCACAGAAAACTTGTTTTAAAATAATTTTGTTTTAAGGCCAAAAACGCCATACTTTCAAATGCCTTTATGTATACATATTTTATAAATTGTGTGTCTGTTAGCATGATAACTCAAGTAAACATTATCCGATTTCAATGAAATTCGGTACAAATGTGTAAACCTAAGTCCCTACGAATTCACGAACCAGCATGATCAGTCTTTGTTTATTCAGCGTTTATTGTTGTAAAAATATATTTACCCCATTTTTGACCCTCAGAACATAGTTTTAATTTCACTCTAAACAATTTTATAGAGCTTACAAAAGAGATAATTTAGTAAACCATTGTTGTACGCTTAATGGTCAATGAAAATTTTGAAATTTTAAATTTAAAATTCCAATATTATTCTTGTGGTAAATATGCAACCTGTTGTGTTTTGCTTCCTTAATAATACATCTTGGCTGAATTTGATTTATTTCATACTAAGCGATTTACATTTTACCAAAAATCACATATTATTACCTTATCTGTAGCAGCAAACTAAGTACTCATTAAACATGATATTATTACAACAGGAAATAAATTTAGCATTTTCTAAGGAAATATTTGAGTTAAAATCCAATACGGCAAATTGAAATTCAATTAGACTGGAGGTTTGCTGCGGCAGGGGATTTTATGTTCATAGGGGGAGGGGGGAAGAATATTAAAACATAGGCAATGAATTGAATTGAATAGTTCTTTAAATGATAAGGGAATTTTTGAAATTAAAATTCCAACTTTTGAGGCCCTGTCGTGACCTTAAAGGGCAATTTACGAAATAATGGATAGTTTTGAGCAAGGTTTCTCGTCATGACGAACATTTTAAGTTTATGGGGGTGTGACTTGTAGTTTTCTCAAAAAGTTCATGGGTACTTTGGTCTTTATATATAGATTTTTCATTATAAAATTAATTTGTAAATGTTTAATTATAAAATTAAACTGTCTCAACCTAACCTAACCAACCATACTTGTTGAGAATATAAAAAAAATACATATAATATAATTTTTCTTAAGTCGACGTAAGGATCTCTCGCACAATGCCCGACTTCTTCGCAGAAGAGGTTTACATCGGCTTCTGACCAGGCGCCTGAGACGCCAGTCTAGGCGCGCGGTGTCACATTATTGATGTTGACTCTACTCGGACAGTTGATTTATCTAAATATTATTAGTTATTTATCAAAACTCGGACAAATGAAACTCAGACATCTGATTTTTCTAATATTTTGTAATTTTTAACAAACTCGGACAGTTGAAAACTCGGACAAATGATGTGATCCCTTCCTGTTATTTATATATATAAAATGTATAAAGTGAATAAAGATAATTTGATTTGATATGCTATGTACTCGTACACTGTTGTTGATTTAGATTTCTATTCAAAGCAAATAATTAGCTTCTTGCGTACAAACGATTTACTTTTCCCCTACTGGGATTAAATAATATCATTCAAATTAATATTAATAAACGTACGTTTATTTATATATCATTTAAATTATGTCAGTACATTGCAATTGTTGTAAAACTCTAGGACTGTATAGCAAAAATATACACATTGGTTTATCATTACATCGGTAAAATTACTTAAGGCCTATAGGGTGAATGTAGAACCGTAGTTTTTGGTAATTTAAATAATAAAACTGATCACTGGCTGACAATCACTGATGAATGACCTCAATGATTATGTCTTGCCCCTTGACCTCCGTGTTAGAGATGGTAATAGCTTTAGTCAGACTGTCGTACACTTGAGCAGAGAGAGATGGAGAACTGTGATGTACTGTAAGCCATACATCTCCCCATCTCACCTGATCTCCTACCCGTCGGTGAACCTGTCAACAGAAATATGTTTGACATTTGTGTAGAGAGAAGGAGATCAGTGACGTACTTTCAACCATACATCTCCACATCTCACATGATCTCCTACCCGTCGGTGAACCTGTCAACAGAAATATGTTTGACATTTGTGTAGAGAGAAGGAGATCAGTGACGTACTTTCAACCATACATCTCCGCATCTCACCTGATCTCCTACCCGTCGGTGAACCTGTCAACAGAAATATGTTTGACATTTGTGTAGAGAGAAGGAGATCAGTGACGTACTTTCAACCATACATCTCCGCATCTCACCTGATCTCCTACCCGTCGGTGAACCTGTCAACAGAAATATGTTTGACATTTGTGTAGAGAGGAGATCAGTGACGTACTTTCAACCACACATCTTCACATCTCACATGATCTCCTACCCGTCGGTGAACCTGTCAACAGAAATATGTTTGACATTTGTGTAGAGAGAAGGAGATCAGTGACGTACTTTCAACCATACATCTTCACATCTCACATGATCTCCTACCCGTCGGTGAACCTGTCAACAGAAATATGTTTGACATTTGTGTAGAGAGAAGGAGATCAGTGACGTACTTTCAACCATATATCTCCGCATCTCACCTGATCTCCTACCCGTCGGTGAACCTGTCAACAGAAATATGTTTGACATTTGTGTAGAGAGAAGGAGATCAGTGACGTACTTTCAACCATACATCTTCACATCTCACATGATCTCCTACCCGTCGGTGAACCTGTCAACAGAAATATGTTTGACATTTGTGTAGAGAGAAGGAGATCAGTGACGTACTTTCAACCATACATCTTCACATCTCACATGATCTCCTACCTGACGGTGAACGTGACAATAGAAATATGTTTGACATTTGTGTAGAGAGAAGGAAATCAGTGACGTACTTTCAACCATACATCTCCGCATCTCACCTGATCTCCTACCCGTCGGTGAACCTGTCAACAGAAATATGTTTGACATTTGTGTAGAGAGAAGGAGATCAGTGACGTACTTTCAACCATACATCTTCACATCTCACCTGATCTCCTACCCGTCGGTGAACCTGTCAACAGAAATATGTTTGACATTTGTGTAGAGAGAAGGAGATCAGTGACGTACTTTCAACCATACATCTTCACATCTCACATGATCTCCTACCCGTCGGTGAACCTGTCAACAGAAATATGTTTGACATTTGTGTAGAGAGAAGGAGATCAGTGACGTACTTTCAACCATACATCTTCACATCTCACATGATCTCCTACCCGTCGGTGAACCTGTCAACAGAAATATGTTTGACATTTGTGTAGAGAGAAGGAGATCAGTGACGTACTTTCAACCATACATCTTCACATCTCACATGATCTCCTACCCGTCGGTGAACCTGTCAACAGAAATATGTTTGACATTTGTGTAGAGAGAAGGAGATCAGTGACGTACTTTCAACCATACATCTTCACATCTCACATGATCTCCTACCCGTCGGTGAACCTGTCAACAGAAATATGTTTGACATTTGTGTAGAGAGAAGGAGATCAGTGACGTACTTTCAACCATACATCTCCGCATCTCACCTGATCTCCTACCCGTCGGTGAACCTGTCAACAGAAATATGTTTGACATTTGTGTAGAGAGAAGGAGATCAGTGACGTACTTTCAACCATACATCTCCGCATCTCACCTGATCTCCTACCCGTCGGTGAACCTGTCAACAGAAATATGTTTGACATTTGTGTAGAGAGAAGGAGATCAGTGACGTACTTTCAACCATACATCTTCACATCTCACATGATCTCCTACCCGTCGGTGAACCTGTCAACAGAAATATGTTTGACATTTGTGTAGAGAGAAGGAGATCAGTGACGTACTTTCAACCATACATCTCCGCATCTCACCTGATCTCCTACCCGTCGGTGAACCTGTCAACAGAAATATGTTTGACATTTGTGTAGAGAGAAGGAGATCAGTGACGTACTTTCAACCATACATCTCCGCATCTCACCTGATCTCCTACCCGTCGGTGAACCTGTCAACAGAAATATGTTTGACATTTGTGTAGAGAGAAGGAGATCAGTGACGTACTTTCAACCATACATCTTCACATCTCACATGATCTACCCGTCGGTGAACCTGTCAACAGAAATATGTTTGACATTTGTGTAGAGAGAAGGAGATCAGTGACGTACTTTCAACCATACATCTTCACATCTCACATGATCTCCTACCCGTCGGTGAACCTGTCAACAGAAATATGTTTGACATTTGTGTAGAGAGAAGGAGATCAGTGACGTACTTTCAACCATACATCTTCACATCTCACATGATCTCCTACCCGTCGGTGAACCTGTCAACAGAAATATGTTTGACATTTGTGTAGAGAGAAGGAGATCAGTGACGTACTTTCAACCATACATCTTCACATCTCACATGATCTCCTACCCGTCGGTGAACCTGTCAACAGAAATATGTTTGACATTTGTGTAGAGAGAAGGAGATCAGTGACGTACTTTCAACCATACATCTTCACATCTCACATGATCTCCTACCCGTCGGTGAACCTGTCAACAGAAATATGTTTGACATTTGTGTAGAGAGAAGGAGATCAGTGACGTACTTTCAACCATACATCTTCACATCTCACATGATCTCCTACCCGTCGGTGAACCTGTCAACAGAAATATGTTTGACATTTGTGTAGAGAGAAGGAGATCAGTGACGTACTTTCAACCATACATCTCCACATCTCACATGATCTCCTACCCGTCGGTGAACCTGACAACAGAAATATGTTTGACATTTGTGTAGAGAGAAGGAGATCAGTGACGTACTTTCAACCATACATCTTCACATCTCACATGATCTCCTACCCGTCGGTGAACCTGTCAACAGAAATATGTTTGACATTTGTGTAGAGAGAAGGAGATCAGTGACGTACTTTCAACCATACATCTTCACATCTCACATGATTTTCTTCTTGTCGGTGAACCTGTCAACAGAAATATGTTTGACATTTGTGTAGAGAGAAGGAGATCAGTGACGTACTTTCAACCATACATCTTCACATCTCACATGATCTCCTACCCGTCGGTGAACCTGTCAACAGAAATATGTTTGACATTTGTGTAGAGAGAAGGAGATCAGTGACGTACTTTCAACCATATTTCCGCATCTCACCTGATCTCCTACCCGTCGGTGAACCTGTCAACAGAAATATGTTTGACATTTGTGTAGAGAGAAGGAGATCAGTGACGTACTTTCAACCATACATCTCCGCATCTCACCTGATCTCCTACCCGTCGGTGAACCTGACAACAGAAATATGTTTGACATTTGTGTAGAGAGAAGGAGATCAGTGACGTACTTTCAACCATACATCTTCACATCTCACATGATCTCCTACCCGTCGGTGAACCTGACAACAGAAATATGTTTGACATTTGTGTAGAGAGAAGGAGATCAGTGACGTACTTTCAACCATACATCTCCGCATCTCACCTGATCTCCTACCCGTCGGTGAACCTGACAACAGAAATATGTTTGACATTTGTGTAGAGAGAAGGAGATCAGTGACGTACTTTCAACCATACATCTCCGCATCTCACCTGATCTCCTACCCGTCGGTGAACCTGACAACAGAAATATGTTTGACATTTGTGTAGAGAGAAGGAGATCAGTGACGTACTTTCAACCATACATCTTCACATCTCACATGATCTCCTACCCGTCGGTGAACCTGTCAACAGAAATATGTTTGACATTTGTGTAGAGAGAAGGAGATCAGTGACGTACTTTCAACCATACATCTTCACATCTCACATGATCTCCTACCCGTCGGTGAACCTGTCAACAGAAATATGTTTGACATTTGTGTAGAGAGAAGGAGATCAGTGACGTACTTTCAACCATACATCTTCACATCTCACATGATCTCCTACCCGTCGGTGAACCTGTCAACAGAAATATGTTTGACATTTGTGTAGAGAGAAGGAGATCAGTGACGTACTTTCAACCATACATCTCCACATCTCAACTGATCTCCTACCTGACGGTGAACGTGACAATAGAAATATGTTTGACATTTGTGTAGAGAGAAGGAGATCAGTGACGTGCTTTCAACCATACATCTTCACATCTCACATGATCTCCTACCCGTCGGTGAACCTGTCAACAGAAATATGTTTGACATTTGTGTAGAGAGAAGGAGATCAGTGACGTACTTTCAACCATACATCTCCACATCTCACCTGATCTCCTACCTGACGGTGAACGTGACAATAGAAATATGTTTGACATTTGTGTAGAGAGAAGGAAATCAGTGACGTACTTTCAACCATACATCTCCACATGTCACATGATGTTGTCATTATTTTATCTTAACATTACAATTACCTCTACTACACTAACCCTAACCCACCTGTACACCAACACTTGGATCAATCTGAGATGAAGTGGTTCGCCGACAAGCACCTAGCCATTGGCAGACCTGGCCTATTATCATGGCATCCACTCCACTGACCCAACCTGCAACACGCAGGAAACATTCAGTATAGATATAGCAAAATTATATTTCTTTTGCACAACAACATATTTACAGGCTGATTACCCCGCATTTTTCTGAATTTAATATACAGTTTTAACAGAGTATTTTCGGTTTAGTTACATATGTATAATTATCTCATACCAGTCTCTACAGCAGGTATGTCGGTGGTGTAGTTGGCCATCGGCAACACTTGTTCCCCAGCTACAAGTCTTGTAATGGTCTCCTCATTGACACCTTGAACTGACAACATCCGACAGAACCGATCCATAGCAGATCCCTCCTTAATAACCTTCTGAATCAACTTTTCTGCCTCCGCTTCATTCTTACAAATGTTTGTCATCACCAGCAGATTCACACCTATTTGGAAAATGAAAATATTTTTAAAACTATCACAGGAGTTATAAGTTAAAAATGTTATTAGGGCCTAAAGGTTTTTATAATTTTTATTTGTCTTGTACTCATTCATATTTGTACCAAGTTTTTGTTGATATGTTATAACACTCCTCTGGTCTTCATAACTTCATTTTTATAAGCAATATTTAAGTAACTTAACACCAATACTATTCAGTTTAGTATTAGCTTATAAATAGCATTATTTTAGTGGGGATTTTATACATTGTTTGAATAACTATTAACATTAACTGGGCGTTTGCAGCTATCGAATGGTAAAATCTTATAAAAAATCATGTGAACCCGGTTGATTTATTTGGTTATGTACATGTAAAATAACGGTTAGAAACAATCTTTTCGTACCACTACATGGAAATAAATTATCACATTGCCACACCCGTAATCAGTACCAAGTTTTTTTACCAAGTAAACGGGTCGCAAAATTACTCATTTCCGCTTTATTCCAGGGGCGTCATTTGGGGTGGGCAGGGGGGACATTTCCCCCCCCCCTGGATCCTGGACTAGAGAAAAAAATATGCTGTACTAGCCAATATACAAATATTTTCTCCTGTCAAATTCTAAAAAGCACAGCAGACAAAAATCTGTATACAGTATTCTTGTACAGTAATTTGAAACAAAAATTATTATTGTTTTATTGTCTTAGATAGCACATTTTGAGTTTAAATAAATTAGTAGTTTTGTTATTCATTTACTTTTTCTGTTTGGTGCTGTACGATAAACCACTTAATTCTAGTTTATACATAAAAATTCAGATTTTTTAGAAGCATTGCTTTGTCATTTACTTTTATGAATTATTTAAGCATTAAAATTATACATGTGTATAAATTTTACGTAATTTATTTTGAACATTGTAGGTAGACTACCTACTAATTTAATATAGTTAAATAGAACCTTTTGTACTTTTGTGTCAAATTATTTTACTGGTGATAAAATTTAATTTGTTTTTAAGTTCTTAAATACCTGTATTTTATTTAAAAACCAAAATAAACTGTTATAAACTATAGGCTATGAACAACCGTATTCATTGCTAAATATTGTACAAGAGAAATTGGTCATGAATCTAATAACAAACATAATATTAATACATCATGGAACTATTGATCACGTTTCTTAGATGACTAACTTACCAACATAAAATTATTGTGTTTCTGTCTGTTGTCAATAATTCTAAGATTCATTAATTTTCTGCCTAAATTTAAATAAATTTTACTCATAATTTTTTTTTTTATTTTAAGTGCTTTTGACAATTAAAATAAGCTTAAACCCCTCTTTTTTTGTTTCAAAACTGCAAAATTTTCCGGGGCCGGACCCCCCTTGTTTGCTGGGGGGTATTCCATACCCCCCATACCCTCTGGTGTTTGCCCCCCCCCCCCAAGGATTTGGTGAAATGACGCCACTGCTTATTCATTCCTGTACTCTATTGCTAGCGGGAATGACAATTCCCGCACGCAAGATCAGCTTTTATTGTTAGTGTTTCTATAAAACACTAACATGAGGTAAGTAGGCTAAATAACTTACATAATCTAAATGACATTTTATATACAAATAAAAAGTTAACTTGTGTGTTATAATAAGTTAAGAAAATTCTTTTGTGTATTATGACCACATAGTGCAGTAAAAATAAGCAAAAATTACATAAACTTTAAAAAAATTAGCACAAGCAGGGAATTTGGTACAGATGTTGGGTGTACCTTTCTTTTGAACATAAAATTGAAGCTGTGCTAAGGCTAATATTGGAAAATGGCGGCATATTTCTGTATTTTTGGCTATAGTGACTTTATTATTAGAGATGAAGGAAAAATCTAAATATACAAAATGTGGTCCATCTAAAAATACACATTTTTTGTATTTGTAATATTTCTCTAAGCCCAACGGGTATTGAGTTATTTGTGATTAAGTATATTTAGTTTTTTTTATTTATAAAAAAAGGCGAAACCCATGGAAATCGACGTTTACTTTTAATGTTTACAACCAATCATCCCATTTAGTTAAATAGTGTGATACTATAAAATCTTCAAATTTAACTTTATTTCATGAGTGAAACAACTCCGTCACAGCTAACCTGCAGACTCAGCAAATTTCAATTTGCCTGATTGGATGTTTTATTAAATGTAGGCCTATATAAATAAAAATTAGGTTTAACAGGTACCCAGGTTTGCTGGTACAGGGAGGGTAATATAGTGTGTTTTCTTAGTAAAATATCAATAACTTAGTATAAAATAAACAAATTTTCCAAGTTTGATCATGATAAATCCATAAACAAGCAAACTAAAACAGTTAACTTATGGATAAGAATAGCCGGGAGTTTTAAAATTACAATTTACAAAATTAAATTTTCAAATTATGGTTGTATTTACTAAAAAGATGGTGATTCTTTGTCAAGACTTGATTTATAATCCAAAGGTGTTTTCAAAAGATTACAAAGTAGGTGTTAATTTATTAAATGGGTAAAAAATGAGGATAAAATATTAATATGACTATTGCGTACTTTACAAAATATGGTTGATTACCTCACTGCATACAACATTTCCGGTACTTGGAACGAGTTAATATTACTTAAATAACTTGCTCCATCTTCTTTTGAAAACCGCTTCGGTTAGTATTCGAATCTTGACGAAGAATCGCCATCTTTTTAGTAAACACAACCAAAATGTGTAAATTTAAATTTGTAAATTGTAAATTTAAAACTCCCAGCTACTCTTATGAATAAGTAAACTGTTGTAGTTTGCTTGTTTATAGATTTTTATTATGATCAACCTTGGAAAATTAGTTTATTTTATAATCAGTTATTGATATTTTGCTAACAAAAAATACACTATATTACCCACCCTGTACTAGCAAACCTAAGTACCTGTTAAACCTAATTTTTATTTATATACATTTAATAAATCATCCAATCAGGCAAATGGAAATTTGCTGAGTCTGCAGTTTAGCCTATGGCGGAGTTGTTTTACTCATTAAATAAAGTAAAATTTTAAGATTTTATAGTATCACACTATTTAACTAAACGAGATGAATGGTCATAAACCTTGAAAGTAACCGTCGATTTCCATGGGTTTCGCCTATTTTTTATAAATAAAAAGCTAAATATACTTAATCACAAATAACTCAAAAACCGTTAGGCTTAGAGAAAAATTATAAATACAAAAAATGTGTATTTTTAGATGGACTACATTTTGTGTATTAAGATATTCCCTGTATCTCTAATAATAAAGTCACTATAGCGAAAAATACAGAAATATGCCGCCATTTTCCAATATGGCGGCCGTAGCACAGCTTCAATTTTAGGGGACTTTTAGTATGTTAAAAAGGGAGGTACAACCAACATCCGTACCAAATTTCCCGCTTGTGCTAATTTTTTTTGGTCAAAACATATTTTTATTGTACTAACAAACAGCAATTGCCGCTCTAAAAATGTATCAACGAGAGCGAGATGTAGATCTCGGGCAGCAATTAAGTACTTTGTCCTCTCAATACACAAATAGCTATTTAAGTAATATTTATCTAAATAGCAAAAAGCATTGATTTGTATAACAACTATCTTACTATGATTTTACCAGATAAATTTTGTTGGCTTTTAAAGATCACTTTTCTTTTCTAGCGTAAAACCAGTCAGATTTAATAGCTCTGGACGAGAATTTCACGACAATCACGGGAGGACGACCTTTAAACATTTTATTTGAAAGACGATGGGCAGCCGACACGTCATACCGGTGGAAGTTAATATTGAGGACTTTAGCAATGTCGGCTAGGATCATGAAACATTTTCGCCTTTAAGCATGGGCACTCCTGTGATAACGATATTATCTATACGGGAATATCAAATCAAATCAAATCAAAAGATCTTTATTCATATTTGTAAATACATGTTTACATGAATAGTGTCAAAAAATTAACATAAAAATAATTACATGAATAGGTAGGCTACAATCAAAATTATTAGTAGGACAGTATTGATCACACTACTCCAGGTTGCAATGGTTGGTCTGAATTTTAAGATCTATTATCTGTTCTAAACTTAAAAAAGTCATCAAATGAATAAAGTGCCCTTTGTATCAAAAATTCTTTCAATTTCACTTTGAAACCTCTATCATCCTGCATGCTTCTTATGTGATCTGGTATGTGATTTAGGAATCTGATACCGTTGTATGAAGTTTTTCTTTTAAAAAATTCTAATTTATGATTTGGTAATACTACTTTATTTTTATTCCTAGTGTTATAGCTGTGAATATCTTTATTTGTAATAAAACTATCTATCTATATATTAATAGGCAAGCATGTTTCTTTAAAACCTTTTTTCTCAGCTCGTGTGCATCGCAGGGGAAATCTACGCATACTGTTAGAAAGATATTTGCCTGTAGATGTGCAGAATCCCTTTATAAATTAAAATAGGCTAAAAAATAAGCACAAAAACGAATTTGAAAACTTCAAAAAATTAACATGGACCAACTGGGTTGCCATGATGGTGACGAAATAACAACAAAATGTAAACAGAAAATCAAAACAAATGGAAGAAATCCCAATCACATGTTTTATTTACAGTGTGGGGAGAAAATAGAGAAGTCTGTACATTAATTATTTTTGGTCGAGTTTCGACCACAGGACGACCACTAGTTTATATTATTTTTTACAAACATTATGCATTCTAAAATGTATAAGCTGTAAACAATCAAAATTTCAAATTTAGTAAAGAAAGTTTTGACAGATTCATTGTTCTTAAAGTTTAATATGGCCCTTAATGCTCTTTTCTGTCCTATTAGTATCTTTGTCAAATTTTGAGCAGATGTTCCACCGTAGACACAGATCCCATAAGAAACATGGGATTGAACATTGGCAAAATAAACACTTTTTAATACATTCGTATCGCAGAGATAATACAGTCTTCTGATGGCATAGATTCCTGAGTTAATTTTCTTTAAGACATTATCCACGTGCAGATCCCAACT